GCCGGCCATGGGTTTTTATACAATTGTATGAGGGTCAGTCGTACGTGGATTTGGTGTGACGGTCGATCCTCGAGGAGTGAAATGGTATCTTTGTCGTCTTGGGACACCCGAAAACGACGTCAGATGACGCCATCTCGAGCTTTCAGGATAGGACATATCGAACAATGCATTGATACAGATTCTGACTCGGCGCGTGAGGGTGCTCCCCTTGACTGTACCGTGACGTGACATTGATTGTAACGTGACAGGGACCCAAAATATACCCTATTAGATAGAACGCTCATAAGTTTTATCATGCACTAGGATGATGATAATTAATTGAGAGAACACGAGAAACCGATAAGTTTATTGCCTCCCATCGGAGATTCCCGTTCCACCGTTGCCCCATCTAAACGGGGGAATAGAAGGAAGACAAGAAATGAGGGAGGAAGATGAGACAAACAGTACCTATAGATCGATACACTTCAAATTGAAGCTTTGGTTCCAATTATCATGACATTTATGAACCGCTGGACCCAAACAATACTTGAAAGTGTTTGGTTGCTTGCGATTCAAAATACCTACAATTACTTTACAGATAATAAACTTCTACGATCGACATAGTTTTATACGAACTGTCGATAGTGTATGCCTTTTGATGCCAATAATGCAATGCAAACCCCCATCTTTTCATCTAAACTTAGATACTTGTAATTGCAATCGAGGTTGATGCGAAGGAACATGCCTTGGTGGAGAGGTTGGAAACTGAAGACGCAATGCATAAAAGCAATTTCTAAATCCAATTTTGACTTACTTTTCCCACATGTAGATATTCAGATTAATGACAGAAAACAATATGTATAATTATTTATACACAATTGATTATTTGAAATACTTATATGATTTTATCTAATTAAGTAAGATATATTATGAATATTATTGAATTCTGACCATGGTTATCGATTGATGGAAAGGAAGTCGATAGGATTTCTTAAAAGATGTGATGGAAGAGACTCTCCTAATTGTTTATCTTAAAACCTTTACTCTCAATTTATAAATAAATAAAAATTTTTAGGGACTTAAAATAATACAACACATAATAATTGGATACGCGGATATGTGACATGATTGAGAGATTATATATTTTCTTTCATCTTCCCATCACGTGAACTATCCACTGAGAGATCATATATCTTTTCTCATACCCCCTTTATCCCTAAATCTATCGATCATAGTGATTTGTAAAGAATAAAAGGAGAGAAAAAAATGAGTCTAATTCTCTTTGAACATTGACATCACTGTATATCTCGAATCAGATGATAGTGTGCTTAAAGATGAGCCAAAGACTTTCTGAGTGAGATACGAAGGATGTTGAGTTACATTTAGTGCCTCATTGAGCATATTCTCACTAGTCACTATCCATCAAGTTAGTGTTCCTTTGAGATAGGTATATCCAAGAGCCTCATTGAGCATATTCTCAATGTAGTTTAGTTGGATTCTGCTATCAAGGGAGTGAGATACGAAGGATGTTGAGTTACATCTAAGAATTAGAATTGGTCGATTTCACCGTGTTGGGTTTAGGACTATTCTTGTCACTAAAAAACTCTTGTATATGGTGGGTGGGGTTAAAGCGCATTTAGTGCTCTCGTTGTTTTTTATGTTGACTAGTGAGGGTCAACTTTTGCGTTCTTGACTAGCCATAGTGAGGGTCGAGCCACACGAAGAAAGCTTTGAGCTTGGGCGACAAGTCGTCCTTTGTAGTCAATACCATCACCGTCCCCTCCAGCCAGCACTCTCCCATGCAAGAAAGGATCTCATTATTGAACCCCGACCACCATGACCAGCTCAAAGCAATGCAGACTATATATATATATATAGTGTTTCTCATTTATTTTTGTTCATGTACTACATGATTAGCTCACGATGCCAATCTCTACCTGTTAGTCTTCGGCCATTCTGGTTGTAAGGGGAAAAAGGTCCATTTGGTTTTAGAGGCAGCAAGTGAAGGTGTGTTGATACTACCGGAATTGGAATTTGTCTAAGACTGTTTACTAAACACATCTC